AGGCGGATCAGTGCAGCTTCTGCAGTAATGCGGTTGATGTACCGGTCCGTCGTGGTGAAGAAGGAGCTGAGCTGTAAGGCGAAGCTCTCGATTTACTGTTCGATCTACGTTCTGACTCTCACCTATGGTCATGAACTTTGGGTCATGACGGAAAGGGCAAGATCCCGAATACAGGAGGCCCAAATGAGCTCCCTCCGCAGGATGGCTGGGTGCACCCTCAGAGATAGGCTGAGGAGCTCAGTCACCCGGGAGGAGCTCAGAGTAGAACCGCTGCTCCTCCACATCGAGAGGAGCCAGCTGAGGTGGCTTGGGCATCTGTTTCAGATGCCTCCTGGGCACCTTCCTAGGGAGGTGTTCCGGGCATGTCCCACCGGGAGGAGGCCCTGGGGAAGACCCAGGACACGCTGGAGAGACTATGTCTCTCGGCTGGCCTGGGAATGCCTCAGCATTCCCCCGGAGGAACTAGAGGAAGTGTCTGGAGAAAGGGAAGTCTGGGCATCTGTGCTTAGACTGCTGCCCCCGCGACCCGGTTCTGGATAAGCGGAGGAAAATGGATGGATAGAAATCCTTAAAATCCACAACTCTTTGACTGAATATAATCTGGCTAGTTAAATAACCAACTCTTCTTTTTGAGAAAGAGGTTTTGAGATATTCCCTTACCACTGTAGGTGGTGATAACTGTCTCCTGACTCAGATCCCATACTTTAATTCTGTAGAGAAAAAATGGGAAAATGGCACTGCAATGAAAAACGGACAGAAAAAGTAACAAACAAAATCATAATGCCAAAGTTTAACACAAACAATCAACACTGCCTCTGTGCAGCGGTGACACATTCAACTCTGTATGCATCACTGTAAAACAGCATCTAACCGACAGTCCATGCTCCCAGTGACAGCACCACTTGCTCCAGTTATGGGGCTCACTGTGGTGACAATATGGTCATGCTCATATTTGGTGAAGCGATTCACTAGCAGGCGCTCATCCTCTGCCAGCTCCCAGAGCTCCAGGGCACCTGCACAGGCAGACAAATCCAATTTTTATTCAAGTCTCAAGCCCAGTGCTCGATTCGAAATACACTGCTCCAAAAAATAAAGGGAACACAAAAATAAGACATCCTAGATCTAAATTAATGAAATAATCTTATTAAATACCTTGTTCATTACATAGTTGAATGTGCTGACAACAAAAATCACACAGAAATTATCAATGGAAATCAAATTTAGCAACCCATGGAGGTCTGGATCTGGAGTGACACCCAAAATTAAAGTGGAAAACAACACTACAGGCTGATCCAACTTTGATGTAATGTCCTCAAAACAAGTCAAAATGAGGTTCAGTAGTGTGTGTGGCCTCCACGTGCCCGTATGACCTCCCTACAA